CTGCCTGGGCACATAAAATCACATGGTTCAAGCTCGGGGCAACCATGTCATATATCCCCTGGACACAAAAAAACACGTTCGTCCAGCTCGGGACAACCACGCCAGATACCCCCCTGGGCGACCTGGACACGTAAAAACACGTGGTTCAAGCTCGGGACAACCATGTTAGATATCCCCCCTTGGTGGCCTGGACATGTGAAAACACGTGGATCCACCTATGGGCAACCATTTTGGGTACACCCGTGGGCGGCCTGGACACGTCAAAACACATGGCGCCAGCTTTGAGCAACCATGTTAGATACCCCCCTGGGTGGCCTGGACACGTACAAACACGTGGCGCCAGCTTTGGGCAACCATGTTAGATATATGCCTGGGTGGCCTGGACACGTGAAATCACCTGGTTCCAGCCCACCCAGGGGAGATATCAAACATGCGGTCGTCTAGGGCGCCAGCTAGGGGCAGCCATGTTAAGTACTACCCCCTGGGCGACATGGGCACGTGAAAACAAACATTTCGCCTGAGACATCCTCTGAATTCTGGCTCCCGACGAAGCCCCGCTCGAGACATCCCCCAACTCTGCAAAACCAGCGTTTCGCCTGAGAGATCCTCAACGAATGTATGTAACACACACGTTTCGCTAGGGACATCCTCAATTTTTCCACGCCGAATGGGACTTTACTGAGTTATTTATCGCACATAATTTCGCCAGCCGACACCAAACACGCGTTTCGCTAGGGGCATCCCCAATTGATCCTCAATTTTTCCACGCCAAATGGGGCTCTACCTGGTTGTTTATCGCAAATAGTTTCGCCGGCCGAAGCCTGGGGGCAAACAAAACTAAAAGAGATCCCTGGGCCCACGCCCTTTCCAGGAACACATACCCACAACAAATAAAAATAGTCAAACAAATAATCGAAACACGTCCCCGTACGATTTCTTAAACTGTTTTTGAATATTCCCCCTGTAGAGGGACACGCCGGAACAACATTGGTTGCCGCTCCTGCAAGACCCCGCCGAATGGCGAACATCGCGAGCAAATCTGATGAAGGCGGCTATCAGTAACAAGTTTGTGCATGCATTGCACGTAATGCCCGGGCCTTGGTGTACTTCTGCTTTTCCTGTCTCGCCCACGCGCTCAGGCGTATGGCTCTAGCGTAGCGTAGCATAGAGGGACACGCCCGACTTCAGGACAGCTACATGTGTTGTGCTCTCCCCTGGGCTCCTCGCCCCCCTCGTCGCCCCAGCACGCGTGCACGGCCGTGCACCCGCAGCCCGCCCCCGGCGCGCCCCTGGCCAGGCCGGCGGCCACAGCGCGGCACGCCCGCGCACTGTTGGCGGTGCGCACAAGGAGGTGCTTCTTAGAAGGAGGCTGCGTCTTAGAAGGCGCGAGCCTTACATCTGGAGACAAGGCCCGCGCCTTCTAAAAGGCAGGGGTGCCTCTAAGAAGCCCTCCCCCCTCCCCCCACCGCCCGTCTGCGCGTGGCTGACGCTGGGCGGGCCACGACCTGGCCTGCACCGTACGACGAAGGCAGCATCGAGACAACATCGGACCGACAGAGGTCTGACATCTCTGAGGAGCGGCGGGTTCGCAGGACGCATCGGGCGCCGCGGCCGTTTCCGAGCGTTCCCGAACGCTCCGAGAGCGGTCTGGAACGCGCTGGAGCGGACTCATCTCGATTCGAGGCCTGCCTGGTACCGCCCTCTTGCGCGACCAGCTGCGGCGGCACTTGTCACCTGGTCGCCTGGAGACGGCAGGCGAACCCTGAGATCCAACGCAGCGGAAGAACCGCAGCATCGCAGCAGATCGCAACAGGAGCCCTGGAAGACACCGCCCTTCCGCGCCATGTCTCGAGCGCATCGATCCGTGGAGGCCTCGGGGGGCCTGTCACCGGGCGAGCGCGCCCGCGGCGAAAGAAAGGCAGCGCCGGGATTTCGGGGAACGCACCTCACCGCAGAAGAGCGCCAGCGGGTGACGCCACCACTCGCCCGCGCGGGAAGGCCGTGCGAGCCCGCCGTGAGGGGACCTCGGGCGCGACCACGCTGCGCCGCCCGGGGCGTCCGTGCCGGCGATCGTGGGCGCCAAGGGGAGGTCCAGTGCCCACGGGCTGGCCACGAGGGGTCGAAGGTTCCCCCTTGCGGCGGCGTGCCCTGCGCGGACCTCCTCTCGAGCAGCACCGCCCGCGCCACGGAGGTCGTCGAGCTCCGGGGGCGGCTGCCGCGCCACGACGGCGGCGGGGCTGCCCTCTTCTCGCTGCGCAGGTGCGCACGGCCGCGCGAGCGGGTGCCTGGCGGCGCTGTCGCAGACCGAGCTCTGCCCAGCGGTGCTCCCGCCTTCCCTCTCGCGTGAGGGACGTCGGCACCGCTGCCGTGCTGCCCCGAAGCAGGGATCCGTGGGCCCTCCCCCTCCGAGTCCTCGGGAGGGCCCTCCTGCGTCTGACATCGCGCTCCTGGCCTGCTTTTAGCTGCAGCCCATCGAACAGCGTCGGCCAGGTGCATGTTGCGGACCGTCTGATGCTGCACGTGGTCGTGATCGAGCTCCCTCTGCTTCTCCGTGCTGGTGCCTTCTCGTGTTCGGCTTGCGCCCAGCTCGCTCAGCCTGGCTTGCCTCCAGCTTGACGTAGGTCGGGCCTGTCCCCCTACGGGCGGATTCTGGACGAAAAATAAAAAGTAGTCAAAAATAATCAAAAACATCAAAAATTGTAGACACATCGTCCCCAGACTATGTTTGGACTACTTTTGACTATTCCTCCAGTAGAGGGACAGGCCCGACTTACGCTTGTCTCCAGCTTGACCGAGAAGCAGGAGCAGGAGGACAAGGCAGGCGAGGCTAGGGCCACCAAGAGCACGTCCGACTCGAAAACACGCCGCGGGAATCAGAAGGGCGTGGAGAGGCAGGAGAGCTCAGAATCGATGGACAAATCGGATCAGCGATCCTCCTTTTCCTCCTCCTCCTCCTCCTCCTCCTCCTCCTCCTCCTCCTCCTCCCCCTCATCCTCCTCCCCCTCCTGGTCGTCGTCGATGTCTTTCAGGGTCGGCGGCACCGGCCGACAGGCCTTCGCAGTCGGATCGGCGATCGACACGAGTCGGATCGGCGGAAATCGGCGGCCAAGGCGTGAGAAGTCGAGTCGGCGGACATCGTCAGGCTGGTATGAAGGGGCCCCAGGACACACAAATAAATACACACAAATAAAAATAATCCCCATTTTTTCCCATATTTTCTGGGTTTCTGTCTTCCCCCCCACTTCCCATATTTTCCCATATTTTCTGGGGAATCGAAGATTAATTGTGTCTGTGTGTTTCTTTTCCTCCTGAGTCAGGCTGGTAGGCGGCATCCAGTGAGAAGTCGGAGCCCAAATCGAAATCCCCACTCGAATCGAATCGCAATCGGAAGCCATCGAAGCCGAATCGAATCGAGCCGGAGGAACCGAGACGAACCCTGGAGAGGTGCTCGCCGAAGACGAGCACCATGAGCAGGGGAGGGAGTCGGGAGGGACGCCTCCCCAGCCGCAGAGTAGCCGGGCGGACAGGGCAGGATGCGGAGGAGGGGCGAGGCGAGGAGGAAGGCCCGGACCCCCTCGCGCCGCGAAAACACACACACACACACACACACGTGGAACTTTTCCCCACTTACGGCCCCCACGGGGTCCTTACGGGGCGATCGGGACCGTCAGAGAACGACTCTCAGGAGAAAAAGCCGGTCCTGGGGGGTGGGTCCAGACCTCTCGGCGTCGACGCCGTGCAAAACCCACGACGTCGGGGGTCTGAGCACAGAGCGATCCGGCTCGAACACTGACCGGAAAGATGGGGTCCAGGGTGCTGGTCGTGATTTGGTCTGCGATGCTGCATGCTGTCGCGACGTCTGCTCTCAGGGTACAGTCGGACCTAGGCCAGAAGAACATCCTTCAAGAACATGAGACCCTCCGCCGGCCAAAATGAAGAGCTTTCGAGGGTACCTTCCCCAAAGATGCACAAGAACATCCAACAAACACGAAGAATAGTAGGGTACCCTCTCCGAACCGATCTCGATCTTGTGCCTCGGTCCGACGGTACATCCGATGGCTCGAGCTTCTCAACATGCGCGGTCCCCAGACGTCCCGGGTCCTTCCCCGGCGGGAGGGAACCACCGTCGGCCTGACCAGTTTCCAAGGCTGCCCCCTCGATCCCTGCCTCCCCCAGGGCTGACTCTTCAGCCCGAGTCGTCTTCCGCTGGTCCTGGGGGGCCCTTTGAGGGCCCCCGAGACTCTGAGATCCGGCGTCGCAAAAAAAGGCGGCGTCGTGGAAACACACGCCCGGAGCCCTATAGACCCCATCTTCCTGCGTTATTTTTTTCGAGCCTGCAATGGTGCCCGAAAACAGGCGAAAAAGCTTGGCGTGAAACAAAAGCAGCGCCAGTACTGCAGGTCCGTGCCGTGTCGACCCTGGCGTTGGTTCCTGACACCGCGCTGGATCGTTCAACCTTGAACGATCGGCCGTCTCCGCAACGTCCGATCGTTCAACATCGACCGATTCTGGGCCGCCGTCGCGGTTCAACGTTGAACGTCGGCGGCGGGGTCGCCGCCGGTCGACACGACGCGAACCTACCGTATCTCAGTGTACGTTGGATGTCTGGGGCGGCGACGCCGCTGTCGGCGACCAGCGGCCCGATGCGGCAACTCACGGGAGCCTACCGTATCATCGACGCAAATCGACGAGCATCGAGCCTGGATCGGAGCTATCTCATCGATTACCAGACGCTAATCGACGCTAGTGCACACTCTAAGGACGGATTTGCGAGGGTATGCACCCAGACATTCAATGTCTTGATTTTTTCTACAATTGCGAGATCCCCAGAAGTCCCGATCCTTTCCCCACGGCCAGCTTCTCGTCCCGAGTCGTTTCTGACGGCCACGGGGCCCACCGAGGGCCCCAGAGGCCAGCAACGGCCCCAGACCTCCCATCGAGACTTCTTCGCGACGCGGCCATGTCTGGATGTCTGGGCAAGGCTCCGATGCTTTGCTGCCAAAGCGGCCGCTGGCGATGATGGGCCTGTTTTCCACCACCACCACCATAAGTTGGAGGGGGAGGAGGAGGGGAGGGAGGGAGGAGGGAGGGAGGGAGGAGGAGGAGGAGGAGGAGGAGGAGGAGGAGGAGAGGAGGAGGAGGAGGAGGAGGAGGAGGAGGAGAGGAGGAGAACCCCCTCCCCCTCCAACTCCTCCTTGTGGTGGTGGAAAACGGGCCCCTCAGGCGACCGGCGAGCGCGGCCGCGCGCGGCCCCAGCGCGCGCGTCCTGCGGGGCCTCGCCGCGGGCGGCGCCTCCGGCGAGTCGCGCAGCCGCGGGGCGCCGTCGCCCGCCGGCGTGCCGCGCGGCGCCGAGGTGGGCCGCGGCGACGGGGCGTCGGGCTGGCCGGCGGCGGCCTCGCGGGGGGGGGGGGCGCGGGGCCACCACGGCCCGGGACACCCTCGGGCCACGAAGAAGTCGCGGCGGGAGGTCTGTCTGCACTCTCGGCCTCTCTCTCTAGGGGCCCTCGCCGGGCCTCGGGGCCGTCCAGAGCGACTCGGGATGAAGGACCGGTCCCGGGAAATGGGTCGAGATTTCTGGGCGTCGACGTTGTGCAAAATCATGACGAAGGGTGTCTGGGGGCGACGACGGCGACGACCTCGACGACGACCGCGCAGATCAGGACCACCCCTGAAATCCTGGCGTCACCTTTTTGTTCAAGCCGGGCGCGTTTGCACTTTTTGGGCCCCGAAGGGGCCTCACAGGTCGAGGCGGCTCGAAACGTGACGCAGAGAGACGGGGTCACTCCTCCTCCTCCTCCTCCTCCTCCTCCTCCTGCTCCTCCTCCTCCTCCTCCTCCTCCTCCTCCCCCTCCTCCTCCTCCCCCTCCTCCCTCGAGAGGAGGAGGGCTCTGGGCGTGATTTTATTACGATGTTGCACTGTTTGTCGTTGCGTCGGATCTCAGGGGGGGAAGCCAAGGGCGGGGCAGGGGCAGAGGTCGCGGCGGTGGGCGGGAGGCGGAGGGCATGATCGTCTTCGTCGTGGTGGCAGAGGTGGCGGAGGCGGTTCGTCGATGACATCACTGTCTCTTTGCGGTGGTATTGTTTTCGTGCCCAGTGGCACTCGTTCGCCTGGCGCTCCGAGAGAGCTTTCTGCGGTCACTGAATCAATGGCTTTGCCCACGGGCGCCGCCGTCGAGTGGAAAGACCTTGAGTTGCGGATCATCGATGACCGAACGCGCAGGCGAAAACATGAGCGCGGCCTTTTGTTGGCGAACGCGACCAGGGCGCGAGCAATCAATGCGACCTTCGCTTCCTGTGAAGTCAAGTCTGGGCAAGTTTGGTGGAGTCGTGTTGCCAATTCGTCTTTCGCGCGCCCTGGTTGGTCCACAAGCGACTATGACAGATCGAGTTGGTGCAGCGCCAGGAAGTTGTTGAATGGCGGGGGCCTGTGCCGACGTGCGATCAGCCTCTCAACCGCGCCGCCAGCCTTCTGGGCCATAAGGAAAGCCTTCGCGCGCGAAGTAGCCGCGCGCGCATCGAAAAACCAAGTGCGAAACTTCTGGAGCAGCGAATTCTTCACGTCACCCCGAGCAGCAGCAGGAACTCGAAAATCTCGATTCAGCTCCCCATGCGCACCGACGGTCCTGGGAGATGCTTTCGCAGTAGGAGCTTGCTGACGCGGTTCCCACTGCTGCGAACTCAGCAGGCCCTGGGCGCCCAACGTAGTCTGCAGCGGCCTGAGAATGCTCCGTAGCAGTGGCGTCGCTGTGAGGTGCGTCGGCGAAGCATGTTCGAGAAATTCCAGACCTGTGCAATCTGGTTGGCCATCGATGCTTGTTGCTTGTGCCGCGCTCACTTCGAGGCCACAAGCAGGAGGAGGAGGAGGAGGAGGAGCAGAAGCAGGAGGAGGAGGAGGAGGAGGAGGAGGAGGAGGAGGAGGGGCAGAAGCAGGAGGAGGAGGAGGAGGAGGAGGAGGAGCAGGACGAGGAGGAGGAGGAGCCTGTTGCTCGAGTCATGTGTGGGCCACCGACGAGCATCCGAAGCTTTTGCCACGCTCCCTTCGGCGTCGTCGTCGGAGAGGAGGTTGAGGAGGAGGAGGAGGAGGAGGAGGAGGAGGAGGAGGAGGAATCGTGTTTTCGGGGCGGCATGGCGACAGGGCTCTGCACCAGGGGGGGCGGGCTTCCGCGGGCTCCGGGCGCGGCCTCTCCGCGTGCGCGGGGCCGTGGTCAGCGCATGCCGGAACAGTTTGCCAGCACACCACGGCAAACAGAGGAGGAGGAGGAACAGGAGGAGGAGGAGGAGCAGGAACAGGAGAAGGAGGGGGAGGAGGAGGAGGAGGAGGAGGAGGAGGAGGAGGAGGAGGAGGCCAGTCTGTGCTTGTCAGTACGAGGTGCTTTCCGGCCCAAACCAACAACAGCAGATTGATCTTCCTGTGCCGCTCGAGACTGCAATGCTCTTCCCTCTCTCGCGTCGTCACGGCAATGGGATCGGTCATCCCGCTGATGTAGCATCTCGCTCTCGCCACTGCGCCTCACACAAGGCCAACAATCCCATGAGGCACCTGCATCATCTTACCTATTGGCACGTAGGCTATTTGATAATGTGTGAATCTCACCCAAGATCTCTCCTGCTCTTGTTGACGTCCCGGTATTCTCCGAAAGTTTGCCTCAACGGCCAGATGCTGGACCTCTCTGATGTCACGACGCGGCATGCCAGAAACTCTGGTGAATCATACTTCTGGGCAAGCAAAGACCAAACAGAAGTGCGGAAGGGAGAAGGTCGTGCACCTTGTAAGCCAGAACGGCGATGCGCGAGGAGGTGGACGAGGAGACGGACGAAACGCAAGAAGGGTGAGGACGGATAATGAAGACAAGAACGGAGAGGAGGGTGAGGATCAAGAAAACGAGGGGAAAATTCTAAACTGCTCTTCCGCTCAGTCTTTCGACCTGCCCGCCCTCCTGTCGCACGTCCTTATCCGTCCTTCTCTTCTCCTCCTCCCCCTCCACCTTTTCACGCGCGAGGCGCAACTCTTTTAGCCGCTGTTTGTGGTGGTGGTTGTGTTGGTTATGTTTGTTCTTGTAGCTGCTTTCGGCATGTCTCGTGGCCCGATACACACGGGGCCTCCGACTTGTCGCTGAGCCCGATTGTGCTGGGACGTTTTGCTGAGATGGGCCCGACATGTCGCTGACATGTTGCTGGGGCCTCTCCCCGAGGGCACGGTACATATCTTGCAGACCTTTTCCATGATCTTGGGCAAACATCAGGGCGAGGCGCCTTCGAAAAACACAGCCCTCTTCCAAATCAGAACTGATCTGGCACTCCGGCGAACCATTCAGCGCAGACGCCGGCACCACCAGGCACAGCAGCCCGAGCGCGCCCGAGCCCATCATGACGAGCTGAGGGGCGACAGTAAGTGATGCTTTGACCTGTATATCTACCTATACGACCACCCTTCGGGTGATAAGGAGGTTCGGGGGGGGGAGGATGCAGCGTCTCACTCGATCGGTCTCACTATCCATCTCACTATCGGTCTCGCTCGATCGATTTCACTCGATCGATCTCACAATCGATCTCACTCGATCTATCTCATTCGCTCGGTCTCACAATTGATCTGATTATCGATCTCACAAACGATCCCACATTCGGTCTCACTATCAATCTCACTACCGATATCACAATCGATCTAACATTCAACGTCATCATCATCAACAACACCACCATCTCCATCGTCATCGGGACACTGCCATCTTCACATCATCATCGTCGCCATCATCATCAACGCCATCATCAGGCCATTATCATCAACGCCATCATCATCTCATCATAGTCATCATCATCATCGGGAAACAGCCATCGTCATCATCACCATCAACATCATCATCGTCATCGGGACACCATCATGGTCACCATCATTTTCATCGTCAACATCATCAACAACAACATCGGGACATCATCATCATCATCAGTTCATTGTCATCATCAACATCATCAAGTGCATCATCAACATCATCGGGACACCATTATCACCAGCAGCATCATCATCACCAACATCATCATCAATATCATCATCGGCACACCATCACCATCACCATCATCATCACCACCGTCATAATAATCATCATCATCATCATCATCAGCATCATCATCATCATCATCATCATCGGGAGACCAGAATCATCATCAGCAGCACCATCATTACCAACATCATCATCAACAACAACGGGCAGAAACATCATCATCATCGTCATCTCATCATCATCATCAACATCAACATAATCATCATCACCAGGACACCATCATCGTCATCATCATCACCATCAACATAACCATCATGATCATCATCAACAACATCATTATCGGGACACCGACGGGACACCGACGGGACACCGGCGGGACACCGCGGGCCCCCGGCCGCCCGGAAGGGAGTCATTTGGTCCGGCCGCGCCTCAGCCACACGGGACACCAGCGGGACACCGGCGGGACACCGCGGGCCCCCGGCCGCCCGGAAGGGAGACATTTGGTCCGGCCGCGCCTCAGCCACAGGAGACTTTCTCTCGCCCGCCCACGCAGCTTCGCCTCGCCCGCACGGCACGCACGAACACGAAACCGAAATCGATTTCCCGGTAGGGGGGCTCTCCGTTCCACTTCGATCTCACCCCCCCACCTCCGATATATGTAACTATTGCCGAGAGCAGAGAAGACCCATATAGATAGTGAGCCAACCTTACATGGACAACATACTAGTTTAGCTAACGGAGTATGTTTGCATAGTTTGTCCCAATCGTCTTGTGGTGTTGGGTCCAAGCTTTGAAGAGACAACGCCCCGCGCCCTCACTCCTCCCGCTGCCCTCCTCCCTCCTCCCATCCCTGCCGCTGCCCTCCGCAAGTCCTCATCACCATCATCACGCAACCTTCACTCGCTTCAGCTGTAAAGTCCGCATGGAGCACCCGCACCCGATTTGGCACACCGGTCACACGCTTCGCGGCCCCATACGGAGCTCCACAGAAGGCCCCACCGGTAGGGCCCGCATGGCGTACCCGAGCCCGCACAGTCCTCACACGTTTCGTGCCCCACAAAAAGCTTACCGAAGACCCAAATAGCAGGGTCCGCATGGCGCACTCGCGCCCGAATCGGCGCACCCCTCACACGCTTCGTGGCCCTACAGGGAGCTCCCCCGAAGGCCCCAGCGGCAGGGTCTGCATGGCGCATCCGCGCCCAATTCGGCACCCCCTCGCACGCTTCGTGGACCTACAGGGAGCTCCACCGAAGGCCCCGGCAGCAAGGCTCGCGTGGCGCACCCGCTCCGATTCAGCACAACCCCCTCACGCGTGGTGGCCCCATACAGGGAGCTCGACCGAAGGCCCCAGCGGCAGGGTCAGCATGGCGAACCCGCACCCGATTCGGCGCACCCCCCACTCGCTTCGTGGACCTACAGCGAGCTCCACCGAAGGCCCCAGCGACAGGGCCTGCATGGCGAACCCACACCCGATTCGGCGCACCCCTCACACGCTTCGTGGCCCCATACGGAGCTCCACCGAAGGGCCAAGGGTAGGGGTACCTTGGACGCCGCAGTCCTTTTGCTGGCCTCCCTCCTGCATCTCAGCCTGCCTCGCCATAACCGCAGCCGCATGTGGCTGGGTCTTTCGCCAGGAGAGTTGATTCTTCGATTCTGCCACCCAGGCAATGCAACTCTGGCAAGGCTTCGAAATCGGGGCCCGGCATGATCAGAATGCACTGGTGGGACGCAGAGTGGGGATGCACGGCCCTAGGGCGTCCACGTGTGAACGACGGCAGCGACATCGAGACAAGAATCCTGAGGGCCGACGTACTGCTCAGCATGGGCCGAGGAGGCAAGGATGGCAAGGGCCACTGGCCCAGACAGAGCACTGCGTCCATATACTTCGACTGTGAGTTGGGGCAAAACGGCGCGGGTGTTCCCAATGCCTCCGTTTACGCTGCCCCCGTCTACGGCACCCACGGCCCAGTTAACCTTGGCATTACTGTTCAGCGGACGCACGTAGCCGAATCATGAGCCCCGAACCCCAATCTTACCGGAACGGGCGAACAAAGGCGCCAAACGGAAGAACATTCGAGGGTTCCCTTCCCCAGGATGCACAGCACAAGAGCATCCAGCAAGCACGAAGAACATTAGGGTACCCCCTCCCAAATCGACCTGGATCTTACACCTCGGTCCGACCGCAATGCTCCAGGGGCACTGAGCACGCCCACGCGTGGGCGTTCCCAATGTCCCCGTTGAGGATGGCACCGTTTCTCTGGCGCTCAACAGGTTTCTGAGGCAGCCCAGGGCGGTCGCTGACACTCTGAGAGCTGGTCCGCGCCCCGTGCTGACACCGCCCCAAGCTGACCCAGGGGGGCCTGGTTTGAGACCAGCCCGGACCACCCCTCGGGCAGTCTGTGCGCAACCCCAAACCTTGCAAATATACCCAATTCACTCTGACATTCGCCACGCCACGGGCCCCCAGGGCCTCACGAATGGGTCCGTCTCGGCAGGGTGCCGAGAGAGCTCGCTCGAGTCGTGCACTTCTTCGCCACGTTGTCTTCTCACGACGTTGCGGAGGGACGATGCGGGGGACTGGCTCAGGGCGGACACATGCCACTGGAATCGCGGATACATCGCGAGTACATCGGCGGCAGGCCCCCGATAGCAAAAATCCGAACGCTCCCGAGCGGGGTGGGGACAACGGGCACCTGTAGGCGATCGACGGGCCACAGGGGGTCAGTGCGCCCCCCGAACCTATCCCTCCGAAGAACATTGCCGGGGTCCGTGCACAGTGTACACGGACCCTCCTCTGGTCCGCAGTGTACAGTGTACACGTGCGGACCCAGGCTACGTCGTGTAACACGACGTAGCCTGGGTCCGCGCGTACAGTAGAGGCCCGACCACAAGGAACCTTCCACAAGAAGCCCTACCCTGAGACCCCAGGGCGTCCACTGACTGATCTTTGGCGCGGGAACGTCACGCTCTCCGTCGCAGAACCCTCGACACCCAAGAGGCCCAGGGCACCCTGGAGGCGAGCAGGGTGCTTCTTGGCATGGGCCTCTGCTGTGCACACCGGTCCTGGCCGAGCCACCCCTGGGCCTGGGAACGGCGCATGCCGCACCCCCGGCCGGGGGTGATGGGCCTGGCTTCCACCACCACCACCATAAGTATGAGGGGGAGGGGGTCCTCCTCCTCCTCCTCCTCCTCCTCCTCCTCCACCTCCTTCCCCCCTCCAACTTATGGTGGTGGTGGAAAACAGGCCCATCAGGGGGGGCGCAAGCCCAGACCTTCGGCGCCCTGCTCTGTGCAGCCCGCGGGGCTCGACAGACCTCGACCCTGCCTCGCGTCGTAGACTTCGCGCCGTGGGCTGCTCAGCGTCAAAACCATGTACGAGAGCGGCAGCTGTGGAGGCCTCCTGGATGGGGCCGGAGCAGATGGGGTCGGAGGATCGCGCCGAACCGGCGATGCGTCGGCGATGCATCGGCCATGCACTGGCGACGTCGGCGATACATCCGCGACGTCGGCGTGGCGAAAATTCGGCCCCATCTCGAGCCGCATCGCCGATGCATCGTCGATGCATCGCCGATGCATCGACGATGCATCGACGATGTGGCGCGATCCTCCGACCTCATCTACACTCGACCAGGATAGTAAGGATGCGCGGTAAGGATGCAAGTGCCTTGGAACGCCATGTTGACGATTTCCGTGCGGAGCGCAGCAGAATACCGAAAGATGCCGAATACCGAATGGGCAAGATTGTAAGGGTAGCCTTGGAAAGTTGCCCCATCCTTACTACCATGGTTGACTGTACTCCGACAGCATCTAGGAGGCCTAGAAGCTAGCGAACACAAAATGCCCAAAACTGATGCATCTTCCCAGAACCGACACATCCAACAGCATCCGGAAACCGGCTCTGGGGGCGACTCGGCCTGGCCTGGCTGGGATCGGCGTGAGCGGAATCGCACGGGGTCAGCGTCCCCTGGCCTTGTCCACCACTGGCCTCTTGCTGATCGCGCGACCACTGGGGGCCGGGGGCGGGAGACGGGGCGGGGCGCGGAACGGCAAGGCAGGGGATGGGTGAGGAACGGGACTCTGTGCTGCACACTGCGCTGCTCATGCTCGCATCGGGATGTCGCCGCTGCCGCTCGATGTCTTCCAGGGATGCGCGCAGCAAAATGGGGACGGGGAGGAGGAGGGCCTCTAAAACCACCTCCTCCCAACGTCCTCCTCCTCCTCGTCATCCTCCTCCTCCTCCTCCTCCTCCTCCTCTTCCCCCTCCATCTCCCTTCCTTCTCCCCCTCCTCCTCCTCCTCCTCCTCCTCCTCCTCCTCCTCCTCCTCCTCCTCCTCCTCCTCCTCCTCCTCCTCCTCCTCCTCTCCTCCTCTACTCCTCCTCGCCCGCCTCTCCCCCAGCTTGCTGCCGGAGTCCTGCACGCTGCCGCGCTCCAGAAAGGGCACCGAATCCCGCACGAGAGGGGCCGGCCAGCAAGCACCCGCCAGTGGGAAAGGTGGTGGCCCACCTCCGCCGAGCCAACAAGATGACCATCTCGAGACGCGGAGTGCAGCCGGGGCACGGCCGTGTGGGGGCACCGAGGGAAGGATATGGCGGCGCTCTCGGGCGCCCAGGCCGCGGGAGGTCTTGGCCAGCGAGTGGCTGGCTCCAGCCAGGACAGGGGCACGGGTGCACGGCATCCTCGGCTGAGCACCTCGTCTCAACGGGGGCGAGGGCGTCTGCAGACTTTGAGTCAAGCTGCTGCGAGAAGGAACGCCGAATGAGGAGCGAAGCCCCTCGTGGCCCCCCACGAGCGTCTGCACGAAGGGCGCGGGAGGAGCCTCCAGGGGACCGGGACCCGTGGGGCAGACGAGCTCAGCATCCGAGGGTGGAATCCTGCGAGGTCGAGGCCGACTCGCGGATACAGTCAAACCCATATCAAGGATGCGCGATAAGAATGCAAGCCCCTTGGACGCCTATGCCGAGGCTCTTCCAGCGGGGCTGACCGTCAAAAGCGGTCATGGACAGACCGGAGTGCCTGGACCCCCGACATCATGACTCTTCATAACGCCGACCCCCAGAAGTCTCGACCCAATCCCTGGGACCGATTTTCATCCTGAGGGGTTTTTCTGACGGCCCCGAGAGCCGGCAACGGCACACCATGATCCAAAAATAAGGAAAGACCTCCCGCCATGATCTTTCATGACCCGAAGGGGTCTGAGAGGCAAGGATGCAAGGGTACCCTTGCGAGGGCTGCCCACCCTCATCATCGACTTCGACTGTATGCCAACCCTCGCCGAGGCCCGTTTCGCACTCGCGCGTGGCGCCCCACTCTGACACGGTTTCCGCGGGCCGTCGCGCGCCGTGGCGGCAGAAGCCTACCGATGTCCTCTGGCGTGCCACGTGTCGTCGCGCCGGCTGCCCTCGACGCGCCCAAGTGGACGAAGCCGACACCGCGGCAATCCCGCGGCAAAATCTGCGTCCGAGGCGGCGGTTGCCCTGATGGCCGCGGCGCCCTCCCGAAGACGCAAAGCCACACGTCGGAACAAACGGCGCGGCGACGTATGAGCACTGCATGTCCGGGCGACCTTGCGTGCTCCTGGGGTGCCCCGCATGGCTTTTCTGGAGACCTGGGGAGCGCGGAGTGGAATTCAAATAGCAAGCATGCCCTCGGATGGTCCCAGTGGTCCGTCCTGAAGGCGTCTGGGGTTACCCTTGGGCGGTATTGGACGCCCTCGGGGCTGATCGAGGGTGGACCCAACACCCCCCACTAGCACCCAACATGTCCCCAAGAGAACCTCGGCAGGCCCTCAAGAGGGTCCAGAGGATCCAAAAAGATACGGGGACCCAGGAAGTCCCCAAGAGACCCCAAACATGCGCCCCAAGAGGCCTCCCAAGGGCCTGGCGGGTTGGGCGCGCAAGCCGCTTGATAGTTTCTGGGTTCAAGAAGGCGGACGAGAACACGGAAAAGGAGCAGGAGGCGCAGCTCCAACAACAGAGAAAAGCAGCCAAATACAAGCTGGAGGTAAAGCTTGAACGAACGACGCCATTGCTTGCCCCGACATCCGACGCCCGCACACGTCAAAACAAAGCAACACAACAAAAAAAGCTGGAGCTCCAACCCCCGTCTGTGCGCAGGATTTCTCGAGACGGATGAATCGATCGGCTAAGGTCCCGATGCCCGTGTCTGGGCAGAACCGCTGGTCGCGATTTCCCCGACATCCGGCTGTCAAGGGGTCCCCAGCGGCCTCTGGGGGCCTCTGGAGGCTTCCAAAGGCCGCCGGAGCCTGCCAAACGCCTCCAACTGCCCCAAGAGGGCCCAAAAGGCAGCAGCAGCAGCAGCAGCAGCAAAATTCATGTTAATACTGTTCGCTCTCATCTGCTCGCGTGTCATTCAGCGCATATATCCCAAGCCCTCGATACCCGCCCTCTTTGTCTTCGATCGTACGCCCTTGGCGGTATGTCTTTCTGATCTGCAAAATGCATGTCATGCGGCCCCTAATTACGGCAGGGGAAGAGGAGGACGGATGGAAGAAACGGACAAGGGGGAGGGAGGGAGCATAAGTCACCTTCGCGGCGACGTTCGACCGCGATGCCACCCGATAGGAGGAGGACGGCACCCAAGCTACGTTGGGTGAGGCCGCGACCGTGCGCCTCCAGCTGCCACGCCAGCCCGTCGCGTCAACCGACGCAGGCGGCTGACGCGCCAGGGCGCAGGCCGAAGCACACGGGTACCCAACCCACTGCCACGGACCCACGGACTGAGGACGAGCGCAGCCCCAGCGGGCTTGCGACGCCCACGGGCCCGCTGCCACCCATTGCCAGGCAGAGATGCGGCCGCATACCCGCAGCCCGTGAGAGACGAACGACGGACCAGACAGTAGTGAACGAGCGCGCGATGGCTTGTCGCAATCGCGGCAGCAGCAAGCGTGCGCGCACTAGCGTCACTGGACGCTGGGAGGCACGGCCCCCCCCTCGTTCGTCGTCGCTGGACGATGCGCCGAAGTGCGCCTCAGCCACGGCTTGGCGCTCCATCTTCTCAACGTCAAGGTGGCGCGTCCAAGCTGGCATCTCCCAATGACCCGCCTTCAATATGTCGGTCACACGACCGGCGAACTCTACAATGTCTCGAGCATGGCCCCCACAGAGTGAGTGGGTACCATGAGCGTCTGCGTCGCCTACTGCCGCGTGGCGCAGTGCCGCCCTCAATGCGCTGCGTACTCTGGCGGCGCACTTGCCAACCCACGGGGCGTCGCCGTCGGGGCGAGAGTTGAGCCAGGCGCCGAGGGCGTGCACAGGGCATGTGGCGCGATTGTTATACGTCTCTCGCGATTCTCCCGCCTGGTGAGAGATAAAACTGCGGCTTCTTCGTCAGTGAAGAGCCCGGCGCGAAGCTGCGATGCGCCGTTCAGCGAGGCTGCGCGCTGGATGACCAGCGCTTCGGACGGGAGCCGGAGCAGAAACGCGCATGCGATCGCGAAATCAAAACCCAGACCGCCGACTTTTGGCAACGCACCTGGGCTTTCCAGTAACAGCTCCAGCGATGTCATGCGAATCGCCATCCGCGGCCGCGCCGTCCAACGCGAGCGCTTCTCCATGGCCAACGTGGTCCCCGAGCGCGCGCAACGTGGCAAGCCTTTTTTCAGATGCGAAAGGTCAGTGCAGAACGTCGCGCGACACCTGAACGTCGTCGGCCACAGCAGCAGACCGTCAACCGACTGCGGGAGCTCCGCGCCCTGGCGCTGCAGAACATCACGCGCAAACCTCACCCAACACTCAATGCCGCTGCGTACTCGAGGCAGCGATCGCGGGCACGACCCGAGCAGGGCGCCGTCGCGGGCCACCCCTGCCCGCGCCTGCCCTGCCTCGGGCGAGGCAATGGCTTCAGCCGCTCTCGCGATTTCGCTGCGCGGATCGCCCATCTGACGCTCGAAACCCGCCGTCGCCCCACGTATCGCGCGGCGCGCCACTGCCGCGGAATCCGTCGCCGAGCTGCGGCTACGCCGTCGGATGGCCCTCCGCCCCGCGGGCGGCGAGCCTGCTGGAGGCGCTGGTCTAGGGGGTCCCTGCGCGCGCGGCCGCGCCGCCGGGGCGTCGCACGACCGCCGCAAAGACGACGCGGTCTGCGACGCATCGCGCGAGGTGTCCATATCCTTTCGCTCAATGATTCAAAACTTGATGATACCGAGCAATCAGAGCCCGCCTGCGACATGCAATGCCCGTGCCGACTTGCCCCTGGTTGTCCCGGCTTCCACGATGCGCTCTTACGATGCGGAGCGGCGCGCGTGCGCGATCTGCGCGCCCGTGACGCTCGCCTCGAGGCGGCCGCGCAAGCAGCTCTCGCATTGCCGCCGCTGCAGTGACGGAGAGGCCGCAATGACTTAGAATGACATCGAACTGCGCACCCTCGAGGCAGATCGCGTCAATCTCCACACGCGGCACATTGCGCAAAACACTGCACAACTGAGCGCCGAGCTCGTCGCGAGACATAGTTAAACGCACTTGCTCGCTTGAGTTGTACGAACTGCGCTTTTACCGGATCTCGCGCGGCGCCCAGTGGCGCGCGCCACTGGCAACGCTGTCGCGGGCTCGCGCCGCGATCGGCCCGCAGCGAACACGCGCTGCGAACGCTGGCTCACTTTGCCGGAATGACCATCGATCCCCACGATGCGGGCGCGCAGAATGCCTCGTCAAGGCGCGGAGCGACACGCGTTGCACCGAGCTGGCGCAGTAGCCCAGATTCGCCACTGGAGGGGTCGTCTGCAATATATTCGTCGGCTGCAATATTTTCGTCGGTCGGCACCCGCTCCGCGCGGGCGATGCACCGCAGGTGGCCGATCTTGACCCATGGGCCGCGTGCGAGACACGCATCATCGAACGCGCGCGCGGCGCCACTGCTGGCAGCGGCCTGCGCACCTGCATTGTCTGAACAGATCGCGACGCGCCGGCGGCAAAGCAGGTGTTCCAACGAACGAGCGAAGACCCAACGCGATGCTCAACATCTCCAGGCCCATTATCTGGCTATCTTCT